TGGGCAATGGGTCTTCCCTCCCTTCTGGCGGAGGCGATTGGGGCTGTGCAGGCCACTTCTGTCACCTCGGCACTTGCTTCCGGCACCTCGATAGAGGCACTGTCCGCGGGGGCGGCGAGGAGAGCTTGATCCAGAAAATTGCCTTCTCCGCGGAACCATGCTGAGTCCTCCGTGGGGAGGTTATCAAGACACTGTTGGCATATTGCCCTCAAGTCCTGAGCCCTGGGCCTGGCGCCCGCTGGGTAGGGGAGTTGGGCCGGCAGTGCCACGCTGGAGGTTTGGGCTAGGCCTCTAGGCACCCAGTCGCGTAGCGACCTGCTGGAGGGGATTCTCCTGATGCGGTCCCGGATTCGTGTAACAATCTCCAAGGCCCATCCCTGCGGGGCGCTGCAGAGTCTGGCGAGGGCGCCCACCGCGGCTCTGAGCATCGGTTCATCTCCCAGTCTTGCGTCGTCCCTCACGGCAATCGGGTACCAGGCTTCGTCTGCGGTCCTCCCGCTGGCGAGCGCCATGTCTGTCATGTGGCGCCATGCTGCGAGTAGCTCTGCGATCAGCCATGACGGGAAGTAGCTGGTGGTCTCTGGTGGGTAGTCTGGGGGGCCGATGTGGCTGGCGATAGGGGTCATCGCGCCCCCACTCTGGCCAGCTGGAAGGTGAGCGAGGCACCTAGCACGTCTAGAGGATGTCCTGGGGCTTTGAGGCTGTCGGGGTGGAGTCCGTTCGCGGCCAGCACCCATGGGGTGGCTAGCCCGTGACAGACGGTACACATTGGGCCGCGCGGGTCCCGTGCAAGCCAGCAGTCGCAATAGTCGCATCTGTCGGCAGGGCGGAAGAAGGCCCCAAACCTTATCATGTGGGATGTACGGTTGATGGGCCAGGGCCCTTCGGGCGTGTCGCTACCCTCGAGAATGGGCCCTGCGATGCCTGGGGCGCGGGGCCCTGCGCCGGGGATGGCGGGGGTGGCCCAGCCACCCTGTCCCGTGCCACGTTGCACTAAGGAAAGGACGTCCGCCCCTGCGTCGGCCCAGTGCCCCCTGCTGACCGCCCAGTTCCTGACTTCATTGTGATCCGGGAAGTGCACCAGGTTGCGTCGGTGCTCGTGGATGAGGTAGCGGCACAGCATGGCTCTGCGCTCTGAGTCGGACCCAGCCAGGATCGCGCGGGTTGCGTCGGGGGCTGCGTCGTGGCGCCACCTCGAGAGCCCCAGCAGGGACGGCGGAAAGAGGCCCTCCGACGGGTCCCCCACCCCGATGTCTGTGTAGAGGGCGGCATGGTGCAGTACCTCGTATCCCCTTTCCGTCGCAATGATCTCAGCCTGAGTTGGCTCGTCGCAGTCCAGGCTCTCCGTTTCGATGGCAGGATCCTGTGTCAGGCTTGCGTAACGGAAGGCCAGTACCTGCATTGGGTCCGGACCTAGTCCTCCGAGTCTTGCCTCATGGTCAGACTCTGTGATCGACCACGCCAACCAGGAGAGGTCAAGCTGCGCCATTGCCGAGGCGCTGGTGTACCTCTGCTGGGGGGATTCCTGCTCCGTTTGCACCACGTGGCTGGGGCCTGTCCTGAGTGGGCATTGGGCCACCCCCTGCTGTGGAGGGGCCCCCGCTGACGGCTGCATGCCAGGGAGGGCGGCGGAGCCAGCAGAAGCTTACCATGTTTTCAAGACCACTGTTCATTGCCTGGTTGCGGGGCGAGCGCCTGGGGAGCTCCCTCCGCGGGCCCCCCCCTTGGCTCGTGATGCTCCATGAGCGCCGCTAGCGCGCCGCCTCATGGCGCCCCTTGGGTCAACGACCCTCGGGGCCAGGAGGGGGGCGTCAGCGTCATGGGTGCCACAACGCCTGGGTTGTGGGGAGGGCCTGCGGTTAGCTGGATCAACTCCGTGATCAAGGTCAGCCACCTGTCCTTCCGAATTAAGCGACCTTGAGCCTGGCGGCAGGGGCGGGGGGGGGGCCGGGAGGCGGCGTGATCAGGCGACCGCGGGCGCGGGTGGCTGATCTGCTGTCGATCTCGTCGGGATCCTCCCAATCGTGGTGCGCTTCGCTGTCGGGGGTGCTTCCGCTGGGCTCGCGATCTCGCAGGAGCCACCTCCAGTCGACCTCGTCCCAGGGCTGCTGTCCGTTGTCAGCATCGACCCCGATCGGGCGGAAAGGGAGAATGGGGGAGATCTCAATGTCTTCGCCCAGGCCCGCAGGGGGCAGAGGAGTCGGGAAGGCAGAGGAGGGAACATGCGGGGGCGAAGGGGGTGGGTCGGGCGGTGGATCCTCCCGCCGTCGCTGGTCAAGTCCAGCATGTTCCTGGGCGGGGCATCCTCTATGTCGTCGTGGGCGTCCCGCGCGCCCGCCAAGGGCGCAGGCGGGGCTCGATCCTGCGGGGGATCTTCTGGCGATCTGCAATCGCCAGCGTCATTCCTCGGCGTCTCACAATGAATGGGGGCGCAGCCAAAAGCCGCAGTTACTGATGAATCTTGATTAGAATTGGTGGCGCAGCCAAGAGCCGCTGGACTCAGATCCTGGTCGTGAGGAAGAGGAGGAAGATGGGGGGGGGGCGCAGCCAAAAGCCGCAGTAACTGGTGAACTGGAGGAGGAGGGAGGTTGGGCGGCCCTCTGGAGCAGTGCTGTCTGCTCTGAGTCCTCTCCTTCTTCTTCCCCTAGCGGTCTCTGAAGTGGAACCTCCGTCGCCACGAGGGGGGGCCTGCTTGCCTGCCCTCCTGGTGGGAGGCCAGCGCCGTCAACTTCTATGGACTCCGATCGTCTCTCTCCAGATACCTCGTTCACTGCCGTCTCTTGGTTCCCTACGAGAGCCTCGTTCTCGGCCTCAGGGGGCTGGGTGGAACCTGCCGCTGGGGCTTCGCAATCACGGTCTGCCCCCCTGCGGGGGGAGGGGGGAGGCGTGGACGGCACTGGGATCAGGACGGGATCCAGGGCGGCGCCAGGACGAGCCCCATTCCCCTCTATCTGGCTGCCGTCCTCCGCGGGGCAGAGGGCTAACGTGGGCGCCGCTGACGTCGGCCCTGCGTTTGCCTCATCTGCGGGGGGGGGCTGATGCCTGTGAGGGGGTCCGCGCCTGATCTGGATCTGGGTGGGGGCTGATCGAGAACAGTGACTGGGCTCCCGCGCCCTGCACTGAGGGATCAATGCCTCCATCCCCATCGTCAGGCTGGTCCTGCATGGATCTGAACCGCGGGCCACGACAGCGCCGCGAGCGATCTGGTATCGCGGGCGCGCGTAAACGAAGCGGCGGGGCCCAGGGCCGGGGGGGGGCGCGGTGCAGCGTCCGGGCGCCCCCTCGAGCGCGGGAGACTTGAGCCAGTGGCTTGAGCCAAGGCTACGGAACTGGTGGGGTTACGCGAAGCGTCTAGAATTCGCAAATCTTTCAGTTGGTGCGCCGATTTCACTCGTGATTCCCTTCCTCATCGTTGGCTCTCTTCATTTTCAGGAAAGCCCTAATATGATTGAACTCCTATCTTCTTAATAAGTGTACGTTATGCTTACAAAGAGCCCAACTCCTCATTTTATTTGGGTCTTCCTCCGTCTCCTCCTCCTCCTCCTCCTCCTGATCCTCGTTCTCCCACCCTCTTTCCGCCTCCAGGGGTGCCTGGTGTGCTAGACCCGACCGTTCTTGTCTTGGTTCTTTTCCAAAACAACTCCGCGTGGGGCTTCGGCCCACCGCGCCGGCCACCTGGAAGACATTGGAAACCACCTCCACGTCCGGAAGAAAAACCCATGACGGCTCAAGATGGCCTTCAAGAGGGCAAGATGGCCTCCAAGTTCGCCCAAGAAGGTCCAAGATAGCATCCAAGACGGCCCAACAGGGTCCAAGATAACTAAGTCCGCCCAAGAAGCCTCAAAGACGGGCCAAGACGGCCTAAGAGGCCCGCAAGAGGCATCCAAAACAGCCCGAGAGACATCCCAGAGGTCCTCCAGGAGGGCCCGAAGAGGCCAAAATCATTGATTTTAGGCTTTGAAGGATTTGGGCATTTGTTTCTTGTCAGCCTTCCGACGGCCCAAGACGGCCCAAGAGGGCCCCAAGCTCGCCCTAAGATGGCTCCAAAGGCCTCCGAGATGACCCCATGACGGCCCAAGAAGCCTCCAAGACGGCCCCAAGAGGGCCCATAGACGGCCCAAGAGGGCCCCTAGACGGCCCAAGAGGCTTCCAAGACGCCGATGCTGGCCTTCAAGACGGCCCTGAAGCGCCCCAAGAGGGCCCCAAGCCGGTCCAGAGAGGCGCCCAAGAAGGCTTCCGACGGCGTCAGACGGCCAGGAACACCCTAAGACGGCCAAAGAGGCCCCAGAGAAGCCCGAGAAGGCCCCCAAGAGGCCGAAGGAGGCTTCCAAGAGGCCTCTCAGATGCCCACGAGAAGCTCCCAGAAGGCCCCAAGAGTCCTCCTCCTCCTCCTCCTCCTCCTCCTCCTCCTCCTCCTCCTCCTCCTCCTCCTCCGTGGCCATCGCTATCGTCGTCACCGCCGTCACGATCACCACCACCACCATCATGATGATGATCTCCATAATCTACGCTATCGTCGTCATCGTCGCATTGCCATCGGTATCATCGTACGCGTCATCGTAATAAGACTCAGAATCATCAACCTCGTCGTCGTCGTCACCATCATCAGCACCATCAACATCGTCGTGGTCGCCGTCACCATCATCTTCAGTATCCTCATCATCATCAGCATCATCACCAGAAACATCATCATCATCATCATCATTCACCGTCGTCGCAATCAACATCATCAGGATCACTATCATCAGCAGCTTCATCGTCGTCATCACAAGCATCGCCATCAGCATCACCATCACCACCATCACCATCGTCATCACCGTCAACATCCTCGTCGGCATCGTCGATATCGTCGTCGTCATCGCCGCCGTCGCCACCACTCTGGTCCTTCTCATCTTGATCCGCGCCACCCCGTCTGGAGACCGCTGGAAACTCACATGCCAAAATGGTAAAACGCCAACTGAAACTGACGCGCACATGCTCCTCATTACCACGCGGCGGACCTCGTTGGATACTGGAATCACCCCGGCGAAGATCAGCTTCAGCCTCGCTGGACCACGCTCATCCCCACCGCCTGCCCGCCCCTTCCTCTACGCCTGCCTCCCTCCATCCCTCGCTCATACATCCAACGCCTCCCCAAACGTGTTCTGCGTGGTGCCAGGCTGGCGCAGCTGCTTGCGTGGGGCCAATGGTTTTTGAAGCATGCTGGAGCAGAGGCAACTGTCCGTCAGTAGCAGTGACAGAGAGGAGGAGGAGGAGGAGGAGGAGGAGGAGGAGGAGGAGGAGGAGGAGGAGGAGGAGCAGGAGCAGGAGCAGGAGCAGGAGCAGGAGGAGCAGGAGGAGCAGGAGGAGCAGGAGGAGGAGCAGTGGGAGGAGGAGCAGGAGGAGGAGGGGGGGGAGGAGGTGGAGGAAGAGGAGGAGGAGGAGGAGGAGGAGGAGGAGGAGGAGGAGGAGGAGGAGGAGGAGGAGGGGGAGGAGAAGTGGGTAGAAGCATGAGGCAAGAATGGGTTGGGAGCAGCTCGGATTTCCGCCCGCCCCCTGAAGACGCAGGCAGAGTCAAGACCACTCGGCCAGTGCAAGAAGGGGGGCGCCCAGAGTGTGTTGGAATCTGGGGATCCACAACTTGCCGTCGCTCGGACGTCCATTTCCCGTGCATTTGTCGGTTTCGTGCGCGTGTGTTTTTGCTCGATGGTCCAGGATGGTCCTCGATAGTTCTCTCCGAGAAAAAATGCACATGTCCGAGCGATGCGAAGAAAAGCGAAGGCTGTGCTGTCAGCAAACGATGGGCACTCACGTCCCCACTGCCCCTCCTGCACGGCCCGAGCCGCCGCCTACACCCAGGGACAGTCTCGCAGGGAGGCCGCCCTCTACACCGGGCCCTGCCACGACATGCGCCGCGCGAGAAGAAGTCCAAGCCTGCAGCCTGGCACCTGGTGGGCGGTGTGGGGGTTGTCAGGCCAGAGATGGATCAAGTCGCGAATTCGGATCGGATCCAAACCGGATCGGATCGCCAATGAGTCGTCCCGGAACAAATCCAAACCAGATCGAAAGCCGATGCTGATGAATCGAACCGAATCGAGTCGAATCTGAATCGCTGCCCCAGCCGACGCTAGTACAAGGATTGGGGGTCGGGTCAGGGGAGGGAGGGGAAGATAGGCAGGCAGGCCAAAAGAGCGGAGAAGCGGTACATCGAGGCTTGCCCCCTGCAGCAGCAGGTCTCACACTCAACAGCAACAGCAACTGGCTGCGAGCGACACTGCCAGGTCGTCAGATGCAGACGCTCTGAGCAGATGCTGCCAGTACAGCTCGTGCGCAGGAGCAGCGGCAAACTTTAGGACCCTGACTCCCTGGCATTCAGAGCCTGGCTCCGAAACCTGGGGCCTCTGGACCCTGGCAGGCAGGGGGGGGAGGGGGGCGGGCATAGGCAACGCAGCAATTTCCCTGAACGGTTGCTGGCACTCGAGGCCCAAGACCCTGGGCAGTAAGTTTGATTGGGAATCCTCACCCTACGAGTAGTAGCAGGGTGAGGGAGGAGGAGGCGGGGGCGGAGAAGAAAGAGCAGAAGGAGGAAGAGGAGGGAGGAGGAAAAGGAGAGAAGGGGGAGGGGGGAGGGTAGAGAGGAGGAGGAGGAGGAGGAGGAGGAGGAGGAGGACAAGGAGGAAGAGGAGGAGGAGGAGGAGGAGGAGAGACAAAAAGGGAAAGGCATGGGGAGGGGGAGTAGGAGCAGGAGGGAGGGGGAGAAGGAGAGTGATCAGAGGTGGAAGTGCAGGGGCGAAGGGGGAGAAGGACGAGGGCGGCGAGGCCGGAGGAAGGACGGGAGAGGAGGGGTTGCGAGGTGACCCTATCAGGATGAGAATGGCAGCGACGCCGTACTTCAGCATCTGAAACGTGCGGGTCAGCGACTCCACAACAAAATACAAAGACCTCCAGCCGAAAAGGGTCAGGGGGCAGAACGCGGGGGGGGGGGGGGGAATGCGGCGCAAGGAGAGCGGAGAGGAAGGAGGGGCGAGAGAGAAAGAGAGAGAGAGAGAGAGATGTGGGGACCGAAACAGGGAGTCTGGAAGCAAAACTCCAGTGGAGCCAGTGACAATCAGTCAAAGACGAAGGGAATAAGAGGAAAGAGAGAGAGAGAGCGCAGGAGTACAACCATGTGCGCATGTGTATACATGTGTATATATATAGATAACCTAATTACTTTGTACATATATATGTGTATAATGTCCTGCCCCCTTGCGTGGACGACGCCGTCATGCTCCGTGCACCAATCCCAGTTCCCAAATTTCAGATATGGATGTTATGGCTCATAATTCCAGCACTGCTGCGGTCGAAGTCCGCGCGAGGGGGGGAACCCGAAAAGGAACCGGTCATCACCCCAGAATCGCGCTGACTGCATTTATGGGGGGGAGGCTGGGACACGTAAAATAAAAGTACAGCACACTCGGGCTTCGGAGGCGACAGTGACCCGTAGATTACGTCGCGCTCACGCTCTCGAGGCCACAATCCCCCGCAACTTATGACAGGCCCGCGCTCTCCAGGCCACACTCCCACATAGAGTACGTTGCGATCGCGATCCCCCCACCTACGTGGACAGCCGATCCGATCCGAACCCTCCTCGGTCAGGCGGGCCGGTTGCGGTTCCGCTTTCTTCTCGCGCCTTCCTCTCGTGCACCTCATGGCCTTCTTTACCCCAGTGCCGCCTTCGCGCGCTGTCCGGGCGGTCCAGAGTCGCCGCGTCGCTTCACGAGGAAGCCAATTCGGCTTGGTGGGAGCGAGGGGTCCACATCGTGTGCCGCCATTTGGGCCCACCGGCGCGTAGGAGGAAAAAGTGTGCGCGCATGCGCTCCTGCGAGCGCGCGTGCGCGCGCGCGTGGCACAAACTTCCAGCCTTGACATCGACGGGCGTCATCCGCTCGCTGCACGCCAGACACCCAAAAAACCATAGCACGAGCCTGAGAAGCTTCGATAAGCCGAACAATTGAATATACAAGCTCAATGAGCTTTGCTTGGCAAGGGGGTCAAGAAATCCAACTCGAAACACCCTAGCTATGTCCAGAATGCGCGCCAACAAGATAAAGGAGCTACGGTGAAAGAGTGGTGGTAAAAAGACTAGACACACTACAGGGCACATACGCTGTCCTCCGCTATGGAACGTGCTATTGCAGCGGGACGGCCATTCTGAACCCCCTAAACTGAGCTCGAAAAATCGAAACAGATATGGCTGCATGGCTTAGCGCCGAGATGGTAACGCATGATTAGTGCCGTATGCGACCGCCTGGCACAGGAGCTGTAGAGCAACTGCATGATAGACTGCACGCAAGGTACACCGACCCCTGTCGCGCCCTGCGGTCTCGAACGTGGAGGCGAGGGGCCGCGTGGACGCCATACGACAGGATCGCTGTCTGCAGAATCACACGCACGACGGCCATGACTCAATGCCACTGTATCGCTAGTGGAAGGGGGCGCAGGCTGGAAGGACCCACAAGGACTTGTCACCCCTTGCTGCAGCTCTGCAAGTTCTGTAAGGGGGGTGCAAGGGTCGGGCCAACCAGCACCTCCTCCTCCTCCTCCTCCTCCTCCTCCTCCTCCTCCTCCTCCTCCTCCTCCCCCCTCCTCCCCCCTCCCCCCCTCCTCCCCCTCCTCTTCCTCCTGCTCTTTGACAGATTTTCGTTTTTGCTGGGGGAGAGAAGGTCGGACACCCCAACGACAGCACACTCCGCAGGCGAGCGCATCGGAAGTAGTGTGACAGGCGGGCTGGTAGGGGCGGAAATGCGGGCAATTATGAAAGAATGAGAAGACAAGGCTCACAACCTCGGGGGCGCGTGCGCTTGCGCTACGTGCCGGAGAGAAAAAATCGCCGCCACCTTTGATAGAAATTGCGTGCCTGTTTCTCTCTGACGTGCTTAACGTGGCTTCGCGCTCAGACATCTGGCCAGTTCAATACAGACTCATCCATCCCGAAACTCTTGAGGACAGGGGGAATGGGCGGAGAAAGGAATGCATCGGTGGACTCCTCATCGAACTGTGTGATATGCGCAGTGAGTGTGCAGCAAAGTGTGTGCAAGCTTGTGTGCAAAAGACGCCAGATGTTGGTGATAGCGTCCCCACAGCTGAACAACAGCTGACTGGACCGCACTAGCGCATTGAAGGAAAGGTGTGTGCACGAGCCTGCACGTTTCCGAGCGCGCGTAAGTCTGCGAATGAGTCTGAGATTAAACGCACTGCTTCGGGGGAAACGTGGCATGCCCGTGCGAAGAGCGGTGTCGTGGCGTGATGCGCATAATGCGTGGTGAGCGCTGCAAGAAGGAAAGAAAGAGTCTGAGCACATGGCCTGAGGCTCAGCATTGCGAACGCAGACGATGAGCAATTCAGGAACACGTCGTTGACCTTGAGGCCAAGAGACAACAATGAAGAAAGGTAGATTCATACATCTCCCTGTTTCAAGCCTTGACTGCTCTTCAATCCGTGGTATGTATATATATATGTATGCACATATATATATATATATATATGTCCCTCTATCTTCCTCAAAAAATACCTGCTTATGTACATGTCAAGGCAGCTCGAACCGTGATGTATGTATGACCCCGATCCTGCATTGACGCCCGCCTGGAATACTGGGATGCGTGTGTAAACATGTGAACCTCTACGCCGTGCTCATGTGGAAACTGATCGCAGCTAGGCTCCCCAGAGGAGCCTAAGCAGAAAGTCAAGCTACAAGCTACTAGCCAAGGTTAAGCGAGAATGGTATGATCGTACGGCGAATGAGATGCAGAGAATACCAGCTGCCCATGACACCAGCGCCGTGCCCATACACCTGGGATCAGTCCCAGCACACCATATAAAGCAATCACCCGCATCCCTACACGAAACAGTGGCGGCGGCGTCTACTTTACCGAGGACGACTCCATCGCCGACGTGGACGGCGATCTGGAGCCTTCCCACGCATGACGCCCCTCCTCCTCTTCCTCCTCCTCCTCCTCCTCCTCCTCCTCCTCCTCCTCCTCCTCCTCCTCTTCCTGGTCATCCTCAATCGTCGAGTCCGTCCCCATCCTCCCGCTCCCCCTCTCCTTTGTCACAATGGATCTTCGAGCAGCTCCTCATCCTCCTCGTCCTCCCCCACCCCTGGGCATGCTCTATCGTCGCGGCCCTCCCCCTCCCCCTTCCTTCAGGCGCCGAAGCTCGAATCCAGAAGCCGTTCGGCACTTCCTAAAGCCAGTGAAAAAAAAACTGCGAAATCCCAGCAGCTCGAGAGCTACGTGGCTCCATCGCGCCATCCCGCCAGTCGTCCTCGATTGTCAAGACCCTCGCCTTTCCCCTCCTCCTCCCCCGCGATCGCCGAGCTCCTCGTCCTCCCCTTCCCACGTCCCTCGTTCCCCTGGTCGCCCGCGATCGTCGGATCCCTCGTCCCCCTCCCCCTCTGGCACGAAGCAAACGAGTCCTGAGGGAAATGGGTCCTGCACGGCCCCGGAACCAGGGGAGGGCCCCGAGGGGCCGTGAACGGCGAAAGAGCCTCCAGGGCCCGCTTTCCCGCAGGATCCGCCTGCTTCACGGCGAACCGTCGAGCTCCTCGCCCCCCCCCCCTTCCTCTGCCCTTGGCCATCCTCGATCTCCGAGGCCCCCGAGGACCGACGCGATCTTGGACGCCACGGAGTCCACCGCAAAGGCCTGGGCGCGATCCGGGGCGCGGCTTCCGCCAGCGGGACCGCGAGCGCGGGCCCCTCGGCAGAGGGGGGGAGGGGAGTGGGTGGAGGAGGAGGAGGAGGAGGAGGAGGAGGAGGAGGAGGAGGAGGAGGAGGAGGAGGAGGAGGAGGAGGAGGAGGAGGAGGAGGAGGAGGGAGCGCGATCCACCGCGGCTATGCAGACTACGCTGAAAAAATCCCTGACGGGGGGGGTCAAAGAACCAAGGGGCCCTCCCCCCCCCCAAAAAAAATCCCTGAGGGGGGGTCAGAAACAGGGGAGACCCCCACTCCCCCCGAACCCCCCCAAGAGAACTGGGACGACCCCCCCCCCCTCCCCGGGCCCCCCCGGGGGGTTCGAACCCCCCCTCCCCAGGCCCTCCCGGGGGGTTCGAACCCCCCTCCCTACTCGCCAGCAGCCGCCGCCGCCGCCGCCGCCGCCGACGACGACGACGACGACGACGACGACGACACATTCTTGCGCCAAGGGGAGGGGTTCAAAGCCCCCCCCCTCCCCAGGCCCTCCCCGGGAGGGGTTCGAACCCCCCCCCTACGCGCCGCCGGCAGCCGCCGCCGGCGCTGACGCCGCCGCCGCCGCCGCCGCCGCCGCCGACGACGACGACGACGACGACAACGACGTTTGCCGGCAGCGAGTCCCCTCCCCTCCTGGTGCAAGGGGGGGGCGCTCGATTCCTTCCCCCCTTCCCCTTTCCCCCCTACTCGCCGACAGACAACGACGACGGACGACGACGACGACGACGACGACGACGACGAGGACGACGACGACGACCACGACGACGACGACGACGACGACGACGATGACGACGGCGGCGGCGATGACGACGACGACGACAAAGACAAAGACGACGACGACGACAAAGACAAAGACGACGACAAGACGACGAAGACGATCAAGACGACGACGCCGATGCCGACGCCGACGCCGACGCCGACGGCGACGACGACGACGACGATGACGACGACGACGACAACGACAAAGACGACGACAAAGACGACGTCGACGATCACGACGACGACGACGACGACGACGACGACGACGACGACGACGGCGGCGGCGACGACGGCGGCGGCGACGACGACGACGACGACGACGACAACGACGAAGACAACGACGACGACACGACGACCACGACGCCACAACGACGGCGACGACGACGACGACGACGACGGCGACGACGATAACGACGACGACACGACGACGACGACAACAACGACGACGGCACAACGACGACGACAACGACGAAGACGACGACGACGACCACGACCACGACGACGACGACGACGACGACGACGACGACACGAGGACACAATGATTGCGACGGCACAACGACGACGACGACGACGACGACGACGACGACGACGACGACGGGCGGACCCTAACGGGCGGATCGGGTCGGGCGGGCGTGACAAGAAAGTCTGATGCGTATACAGCATGACACCTGAGAACCCTAATGGGCGGGTCGGGACGGGCGGACCCCTATCGGGCGGGGCGGGACGGGCGGGCGGGACAATAAAGCCTGATGCGTATACAGCATGACACATGAGAACCCTAACGGGCGGGTCGGGACGGGCGGACCCCATCGGGCGGGTCGGGCGGGCGGACCCTAACAGGCGGGTCGGGTCGGGCGGGCGGGACACTAAAGCCTGATGCGTATACGAGAAGTTCGAAACCCCCTGGGAGGGCCTGGGGAGGGGTGGGGGGGATTCTTACCCCTCCAACCCATGGCGCAAGAATGTGTCGTCGTCGTCGTTGTCGTCGTCGTTGTCGTTGTCGTCATCGTCGTCGACGGCTGCCGGCGGCCATGAGGGGGTAGGGGGGGTGGGTTCGAAACCCACTCGGGGGGGCCTGGGGGGGGTTCGAACCCACCCACCCCCCCTGGCGCAAGAATGTGATGTGTCATCGTCGTCGTCGACGTAATCGTCGTCGTTGTCGTCGTCGTGGGCGGCGTCGTCGTCGGCGGCTGCCGGCGGTTGGGGGGGGGGCTCGAAACCACCCGGGAGGGCTCGGGGAGAGGACGGGAGGGGGCACCCTTCCCCTCCTTTTTCCGGGGGGGGAGCCGGTTCCCGTAACCCCTCCCCACCCCCCCTCGTTTGCGGGGGGGGAGGGTAGAGGGTTGGAAATCCCTCCCCCCCCTGCCAGTGGCGACAGAAAGCGTTCTTATCATCATCATCATCATCATCATCATCATCATCATCATCATCATCATCATCATCATCATCATCATCATCATCATCATCATCATCAGCATCAACATCAGCATCAGCATCAGCATCAGCATCAGCATCAGCATCAGCATCAGCATCAGCATCAGCATCAGCATCAGCATCATCATCATCATCATCATCATCATCATCATCATCATCATCATCATCATCATTCTCATTATCATAACAATCTTGATCATCATCAGCAGCAGCAGCATTAGCATCAGCATCATCATCCTCATCATCACCATTAGCATCAGCACCGTTTTCACCATACATAACCATCAGCATCATCAGCATCATCAGCATCATCAGCATCGTCATCATCATTGTCATCATTACAATAATCATCAGATTCCTTAGTATCATCATCATCATCATCATCATCATCATCAGCATTATCCTCATCATCAGCAGCATCATCATCACCATCATCATCAGTTGCATCATAAGCATCATCATCATCATCATCATCATCAATCATCATCATTAGCAGCATCATGATGAGCATCATCACATGATGATCATCATCATCATCATCATCAATAGCATCATCATTATCACCATCATCATCATCATCAGAATCAGCATCCTCATCATCATCATTATTATCATCATCAGAATCAGCACCATTGTTATCATCATCAGCATCATCACCATCAGCATCATCATTATTATCATCATTAGCATCAGTAGCATCATCAGCATCATCAGCATTATCAGCATCAGCATGATCATCATGATCATCATCATCATCAGCAGCAGCGGCATCATCATCGTCATCATCGTCATCACCATCACTATCATCATCATCCTCATCATCATCATCATCATCATCATCATCATCATCATCAGCAGCATCATCATCATCATCATCCTTCATCATCCCTGTCTCCCCGTGGTCATGGGACCCCCTCGCGAGGAGCTGGAGCGTCAATGTTGCATTCAACATGGCGCAGCAGAGCCTGCATGTTGCCGCATTTTCTGGCAACTAGGGAGCAAGTCTGTTACCAGACGGCGAAGCAGTGGACGCGCCAATGCGCGCCAATCGCAAGCTGCGCCAAACGCGAGCTGAGCATGCAATTGTCTTGGCAGCCTGACACGCACACGCGCGAGTGGCATACCGACGACGCTGAGGACGAAGAGAAAGAGCAGAGAAATGAATAAGCCCACTGTTGCTCACTCCGCCTGCGCGAACGAGGAAGCGAGCACGGCAACGTATGGGTGGGCACACTGGCGAGGCCGTTCGGCTACGGCGTCGTGGTCGTCGAGGCCGAGCAGCCCACCGACCTCGTGCCCGCTGTGGCCGACATTACGCGCGCACACGTTCAGGTACTGCGTGACCTTGTTCTTCAGTGTCACCTTCAAGTCGACAGGCCCGAAACGCATCCAATCTTTCCTGTTTTTTCCCTCGGGGGTGCCATGCGGGTTCGCAAGGAATTGGATTGGCTTGCTTTGGTTTGCACACGTAAGAGAGTAACGTTGCCCGGTCGGTATATGTCGAACTTATCACCGCACATGTTGCTGATGTGGGGGTCGCCAGCGACAGAAACGGCATCTGTTAGGGCCGGTGTTGGGGGACTAGGCGCTGGCGTCGGCGCGGAAGTAGGCGCTGGCACTGGTGCACGCGTTGGGAGTGTAGGTGCCGGCGTTGGTGCCGGCGTGGGAACCGGGGTCGGTGCTGGTGTTGGTGCCGGCGTAGGGTCTGGCGTTGGTGCTGGCGTAGGCGCAGGGGTCGGTGCTGGCGTTGGCGCTGGCGTTGGTGCTGGCGTAGGCGCAGGCGTTGGCGCGGGCGTCGGTGCTGGGGTCGGTGCTGGCGTCGGCGCTGGCGTCGGTGCCGGCGTAGGCGCTGGCGTTGGTGCTGGCGTGGGTGCATCGAAGACGCGAACGTGACCAAAATTTGACCCAGCAGCACCGTCGTTACCAGGTGTTCCAACGGCCACGCGGCTGCCATTGTTGCTTAGCGACACACAGCATACCCACTCTGATCGCCTGAGGTTTCGCAGTCGATGTCCTGACCCACCTGGCTCCACGTGTTCCCCGACAGCCCGAAGACGCGAACGTGACCCGAGTTTGGTCAAGTGTTTGTACCAGGTATTCAAACAGCCACGCGGCTGCCGTCGCTGCTCAACGACACAGAATACCCGGTCCGAAATGAAAATGGTTGGCCGTCGATGTCCTGCACCACTTGGCTCCACGTGTTGCCTGACAGCCCGGAAACGCGAACGTGACCAGAATCTGTCCACCCAGCAGCGTCGTGATAGGGTGCTCCAACGGCCACGCGGCTGCCGTCGCTGCTCAGCGACACCGAAGTCCCGCTCTGATCGCTGGCGGCTTCGCCGTCGATATCCTGCCCCACCTGGCTCCGCGTGTTGCCCGACAGCCCGAAGACGCGAACGTGACCAGACAACCCAGCAGCACCGAAATCATAGGGTTTCCAACGGCCTCGCGGCTGCCATCGCTGCTCAGCGACAAAGCATACCCGTTCTGATCGCCTGAAGTTTCGCCGTCGATGTCCTGCCCCACCTGGCTCCGTGTGTTGCCCGACAGCCCGAAGACGCGAACGTGACAAGAATTTGACCCGACAACACCGTCGCAATATGGCGCTGCAACGACCACGCGGCTGCCGTCGCTGGTCAACGACACAACATACCCGTTCTGACCGCCTGAAGCTTCGCCGTCGATGTCCAGCCCCACCTGGCTCCATGTGTTGCCCGACAGCCCGAAGACGCGAACGCAACCAGAATTTGACCCAGCAACACC